CTTGCTCCATTTTAAAAGAGCATCTAAGTCTGCCTGTAGTGCTCTTCTATCGTCATCTGAAGTAATATTTTTAGCTATCTTGATATCATCCGCGAATTTCCATATGTTACTTGTTAAGTCAGAGTCTATAAGATCTACAAAAATAATGAAAAGCAATGGTGCTAAAACAGTTCCCTGAGGCACACCACTCTTGACAGCTTTCCAGTCAGCTTGATGGCCATTTAGAATGACTCGCTGCCTGCGACCTACTAGCCAGGCCCCTATCCATTTGAGAAGAGGACCATCTAAACCATGACGCTCTAATGTGATCAAGAGTCTTTTGTGTGGAACTTTATCGAATGCCTTACTGAAGTCCAAATAAACTACTGATACACTGTTACTCCTGTCCAAAAGGTCTGTCGAATATTCAAGGAAATCTAATAAGTTTGTCAAACAGGAGCGTCCACTACAAAAACCATGTTGAGATGGAAGTAAAATCTCGTGTTCCTCAAAATGAGCAACTATTTGACAGGTAGGTAGGTAGGTATAGGTATATAGATAATGGACTTGGGGTAGCAGTATGCTATTTGTTGTCCATGTCATTGTTGGCAAGGAAACATGTCAGGGTACTCATTGAGGTTGGAGGTCACAGGTCACAGTTGGCTTTGAGCTGGAGGTGCTTATCTAGCTTAGCTTTAAATGTAGCAGTGGTGTCAGCAGACACAACATCATCTGGTAGCTTGTTCCAGTCATTAGCCACCCTCTGTGAGAAGAACCTTTGTCTGGCTTGATGGACTGACTGCTCCTTGTGTAATTTCATATGGTGACCTCTTGTGTTTGTCGTCCTCAGTTTGAAAAACTTCTCTCTCCTCACATTGAGCTTCCCTGACATGATTTTATACGTCTCAATCAAGTCGCCTCTTTTTATCCTGTCTTTAATAGATACGGTCTTCAGGACTTTTAGTCTTTCTTGGTATGGCCTGTGCTTTAACCCCCTCACCAATCTTGTAGCTCTGCGCTGGATGTTTTCGAGGAGACTGATATCTTGAACAGCTTGGGGACCCACAGCTTGTATACAGTAGTCCAGGTGTGGTCTCACATATGAGTTGAAGAGGCTGGTGAAGTTTGTTGCTGTGATTTGGTCAAAGGACCTCTTTATCATTCGGAGAGCTACCATTGCTTTGCTCGCAGCTCTTTGACAGTGACTAGTAGGTCGAAGGTCGTTTGTTATAGTCACCCCCAGGTCTCGCTCCTTATCTGTGACTTCTAGTTTGACTCCTCTAATACTGTAAGATCTTTTTGGGTTTTGTGGTCCACAGTGCATCACTTTACACTTTTGGGGGTTGAATTCAAGAAGCCATTGTTCAGTCCATTGCGAGAGTCTATCTAGGTCTGCCTGAAGTTGTTCTGAGTCCTCTGAATTTCTGACCTTGCGATAAATCTTCATGTCATCTGCAAACAGTTTTGCGTCGCACTGGACCAATGTGGGCAATTCGTTGACATATATCACAAACAGGATGGGTCCCAATACTGAGCCCTGCGGAACTCCGCTGGTCACAGCCTCTTCTCTAGATTCTTGGTCATGAACTACTACCTTCTGAGTCCTGTCCTGAAGAAAGTTTGTGATCCATTGAAGCACTCCTGCTTTGACACCATAGGCAGCCAGCTTCTTAACAAGTCTTCGGTGGGGCACAGAATCAAAGGCCTTTTTAAAGTCACAATAGATGATGTCCAGTCCACTGCTGCTGTCCAGTATGTGTGTCCAATCCTCCAGAGCCTCTAGAAGATTGGTCAAACATGATTTTCTGGGTACAAAGCCATGCTGTTCTTTGCAGATGAGATCTTTCTCTAATAGATGGTTGAGCAGGTGCCTTTTGATAATTCTTTCCATGACCTTACATGCATGACTAGTCAGACTCACAGGCCTGTAGTTACTTGCCAGTTTTTTGGAGCCTCCCTTGAAGAGTGGTACCACTGCTGCTCTCTTCCAAGCTGTTGGTAGCTGTCCGCTTGTCATGGACTTTTGGAATATCTGCATGAGTGGGTATGCTAGCTCAGGTGCACAGTTTTTCAAGAGAAAGGGGGAAACATCATCCGGTCCTGATGCCTTGTCTTCAGTCAACGTTTGAAGTTCATGGAGTACTTCCTGAAAAGTAATGTTAATATCCTCGAGTGATTCTCCTTCTTCCACCTGACTTTCAAAAGCTGGCAAAACACCGCCTTGTTCTTTTACAAAAACTGAGCAAAAGAATGTTTGTAGTTCATCTGCAATCTCTTTCTTTGTTGCTATCACAGTGCCATCAGGTTTGACTAGTTCCATCACTTTGTCTCTTGTTTTGCTTTGCAGTCTTACATATTTGGCTATCTTCTTTGGCATTATCTTAGCTGACCTTGCCAGCTCTTCCTCATACAACCTTCTTGTCTGCCGGATGTGACTCGTGGTCTCGTTTCTGATCCTGGTAAACTTCTTCAGATTCTCTGCTGTTTGTTCTTTTCTGTACTGCTTGTAGGCTTTATATTTACGCTTCACTTGCTTATCTAGTGCTTTATTCCACCACGGTGGTGACAGTTTTGTTTTTCTTCTGCCTTTGAATAGAGGAACATACTTCTTTCTGCAATCGTGTAACTTATCAACAAAGAATGTCCATGCTGCTTCAACATCCATGTTTTCTATCACATCCCACTGCACCTGTGCTAGCTCATGACGGATAGAATCATAGTTACCAGCTCTGTAATTGTATCTGAGTTGTTCCTTGGCCTCCCTGTTTTCAGAGTGTATTCTGTAGTCCCATATTATCACACAGTGATCACTTTTTCCTATTGGAGCTTCATATTTGACTTCCTCAACATTGTTTTCCTGATTAGTGAGGATGAGGTCCAGGGTAGAGGGGGCTGTACCTGCTCTGTGCCTGGTGCTGGATTTCACATGCTGGGTTAAGTAACAGTCTTGTACTATGTTGTAAAACTGAGTGGCATCAGAGTTTGGTGGTCCTGAAATTGCACCAGTGTCCCAATCAATTTCTCTGTAATTAAAGTCTCCCATAACCAGGTAGTCTGTAGCACTAATTGTTTTCATTTTCTCTAGCAACTTCAGCAGTTCTTGATTATTTTCCCGATCACTGTTTGGTGGTCTGTAGCAGATGCCCACCACTATTGTGTTCCCAGGCCTTGTGTGAATTCTACACCATGCTGCTTCTTCAAAGTTTGAATTGTTCAAAATATCACACTCGCTGACCCTTAAATGATCTGCCACAAGAAGTAGAACACCTCCACCTTTACAACCATCAGGTCGGGACTTACTGGCTGCTACTTGATAGCCTTGAATGTGAATCTCATCCTTCTGCCACACTTCTGTCAGTCCTATAATGTCTGGCTTATGAATGTCCACCCTGTTCACAAACTCTTCCATCTTGTTTCCTAAGCTATTGACATTAGAGTAGAAGCATGACAAAACTTTGTTGAGAGTCACACTACTGTTCTCTTGGGACCACCTTGTTCTGAAAGATCCTGTGTGTCTCCTTGCCTTTTCTTTTGAGTTCGTCCCTCAGTTCTTTTTGCTTTGATCTTTCTTCTGGCGACAGATCCTTGGTGATGTACCTGTTCTTGAACCCTACATCTGTTAGTCTGAACCTCTTTTTGTACAGGTCCTCTAGTTGCTCTTTGTCTTTAAGTTTCACCAAAAGCAATCTCGGTTTGTCGGATGAAGTGTCTCTTCTGCCAAGACGGACCACGTCTAGCAAATCTATATGAGTGTCGTTGCCTCGCAGGGCCCTAGACATCTCTTGGATCCTTTCCTTGTCATATTCCTTCCTTACCTCTGTCTCGCTTGACTCTGACTCTGGCAGGTTGTGAATGATCAGGTTCATGTCCCTTTTCTCGTTGCTCGTTTGAACAGCTTTCTTTATCGTGTCCGAGCTCTGTAGGATAACCTTTTTCTGTTCGCTTAGTTTTTCTACTACTTTCTTCTCCATTTCATTTATTTTTTTCTCGATCCCTTTCTCTACAGTTTTCTCATCCTTGTCTTTGCCAATTGCTTCTATGACATTCTTTTCTACCTGCTCTACTCTAGAGATCACTTGTTGCAGTGAAACCGAGACCTTGAATTTCATTCTGCATGTTTCGCACACCCAGAAGAGGTCGTGTAGGTCGATGGCTTTAAAAGCCTCAACACTTAGGCCCTGACAGCTCGGGTGGAACCAGTCATTACAGCCTTCGCATTCTATAGAATCTTGTTTCTTCCCGATAGTTTTGCCACATGGTTTCCCAGTACTTCCTCTGCACTGGAATGCCTTACCTTTCTTTGATTTCTTTTTGCTTTGCACAGTCACAAACCCCTCCTCAGCACTTTCATTCCCGCCACTTTCATGTTCGCTTTCCTGGCCTTGAGACAATTGTGACGCAGGGGTCTCACGCGATGCAAGACCCTTTACCATTTTATGTCAGTTTCAAAAATGTTCTGACACTTGAAAACTTGCATGAACAAATTTCAATGCTAAGCTAGGCCTCCAAAAGTGGGAATAAAAGGAAAAAGCAGTTATTTGACGTTTTATGATTCTTTCTAGCACTTTACACACGACCGAACTTAAACTTACTGGTCTATAATTGCTCACTACAGTTTTGTTTCCACCTTTGAAGATTGGAATGACATTCGCACACTTCCAATCATCAGGAATTTCACCTGATTCTATGACTCTTTAAAGATAATGTAAAGTGGAACAGATAATTCTCTTGCTCCTTCTTTTAAGACCCTAGTGCTAATATTATCTGGACCACTTGTCTTATTTGCTTTAAGATTACACAAAGTTTTAGTTATGTCATCCTCAGACAGGTAAATAGTTGTAAGTTTAGGGTGTGTTGTCGATTTAGGTACAAGTACCCATCTTTGGTTCATTTTCATCAAAATATTGATGAAATTTTTGTAAAACTCTTTTATTTCGAACCACAAAACAAATAATATGGCCAAAAATATTACTTATTGGAACTAAATCACAATTAAAATGGTGAAAAATCCAAAATTGAATGTACAAGTACAAGTACTTTGAGTGACACTAATTCAATCATTTCCCGAGCGCCATAATTGTCGCGAAGTAACGCATTGTCCGTCTGGGATTTGTAAAGATTGTTTGTGTGTTGTGGTCATTCCGTTGAATTTTTAAAGGAGTTGGGTGTGGACTAGCATAGTTTTTAAATTTTGACGCCTAGCTCACCTCTAGCAAATAAGTTTTAAAATACATGTAAGGTGCTTGGGCTCAAGTCGTGTTTTTGTATGGGTTATGGTCAAGGACGTCATTTTTACAAGGCAAGTATAAGTCCTATTTTTTCTCTTTTTTTTTCCTTATTTCATAGAGAGTAACATCTAATAGTTTGAAGCGCATTTATTCTAGAAAATTTACATTGTAAATTATGCATAAATGGCATGTCGATTCCTCTGAAATTTGTAATTTCAGTCGGGGAAACTATGGTAAAATCTGCTATTTTTAGCAGTCTGCTATTTTTAGCAGAAATCTGCTAAAAATGGGTTCGCATGTGACGTCATCGTACCCAAATATAGCAGATTTGGGTACGGCCCCATACAAAAGCAGATCTGCACCCTAATTGAAGCAAATGTGCATCAAATGCCTGGCAGATTCATGATGAGAATAGTGCTGAGAGTGATCTCTGCTATTTTTGTTCAGATCCGACTATTTTCAAATTCATTATTTGAAAATAGTCGGATCTGAACAAAAATATCAGAGGACATTCTCACCACTATTCTAATCATGAATCTGCCATGCATTTGATGCGCATTTGCTTCAATTAGGGTGCAGATCTGCTTTTGTAGGGGGCCGTACCCAAATCTGCTATATTTGGGTACGATGACGTCACATGCGTACCCATTTTTAGCAGATTTCTGCTAAAAATAGCAGACTGCTAAAAATAGCAGATTTTACCATAGTTTCCCCGACTGATTTTGATTTTGTGAAGTACCTACCTATACATCTGATACGCAAGCTAATGATGTAGCGGCACACACTACACACACTCAAGGTACATTACTTAATTTAACATTTTGACCTCATTTAATTGGCTTGGACCTACTAGATTGTTTGACCTCTCTAAAATAAGTATTATTAGACCCATAACAACAAACCGCACTAAAACATGTACCAATTTGGTAGTTTGATTTCAAAGGCTGTTGGGCCTGGTTGGTGCCTGGTGGAGCAATTGTCATTGAGTATTGTATCTGCTCAACCAGGAATGTGGCAATACCATTCCAGTGTACATTCATGTGTGTATGATATTGGTGTTTTTCAAATGAACTGAATGACCAGCTCCTGGCCATTCTAGCATACTATGAATATTATTTATGTTTTGAATCTGTATCTTGTATTAAAGAAAGTTTCATTGATTTATTGATTGATTGAAATGTCATTTAGGTGCTCTTTTAATTAGAATCCTGCATTTTCAGGTAAAAAAGTTGGCACTCAAATTTCACCAAAGTGCTGTACTTAATCTCTAATTATAATCTCTTCAATATAATTGGTGTTTTTCTGGACATGTCAGGTTATGAACCTGCCTATTGATTGTATTGAAATTCTGATGGCAAAATGTTACTATCCCTATCTGTAGGCTAATTGTAGTTATCCCTATCTGTAGGCTTAAATCATATTGTTGTTTTGCTTTGTTGTTTAAGATATTTTCATGTTTCCTTAACCACTCCTGATTTTTAAAACACTTTGAAACCTGTCTGAAATGCTAGTCCTGTGACCATATGGCAAAGCCTCACCACTTTGATCAGCTACACTGCACAGCATTTTTCAGATTTCAGAATAAGTGATTTTGTTTATTACTGTTGATCTACATTGCTCCTTGGGATAATTAGATATTGCCCATTGGTGTTAAATGGTTTCCTTTTGACACAATTTAGGTATTCACTATTTCATTAACTTATCCTTGAACCACATTTCCTCTGGCTCTGTTTCCTAGCTGAATTTGTATCTAAGTTAAAAATTAATGCATGAATACCTCACTGTTTCAGTAAAGCAATGCACAGAGAAGCCTCCTCCCCCCCCCCTTGTAAGTGTAGCTTGGTTTGGCCACTTATATAGCTATATGCACTTTTTACAGACTGATCTGATTAATTGCCATATGTAGTTGCCTGAAATGTCTCACTCAACAGGCTCTTAAAAGGCCCTTTTTATTCATTTTACATACTCACACAGTGCCTGTGACAAAGCATCACTTACAAGTCCTAAACTATAAAGGTTTTGGTGAAACATTCCATTATTTGATCTACATTTTACACTTTGTCTACCTTTCACAGTTGACATCACAGTAGAAGCAGAATGAGCTCTATTGCACAGAAGATTGATTTCACAATGCTGAGTGACGACGAGCCGGAGACCTGCGAGCTCTCCATCAACAGCATGTCGTCGGACGAGCTGTTGCCGGCGGTGGACGGCGTGTCGCCGCCGCCGGCAGCGCGCCTCTTCCACCCGCCGTCGATGACGTCGAGCCCGCGCCGGCCGCTGTCGCGGCTGCCGGCGCCGCTCTGCCGCGACGGGCCGCACCACCCGCTGTCGGCCGGCCAGACGCCGGCGGCGCCCAAGCCGACCAGCCGGCTGGCGCGCGACCGGCTCAGCTCCACCTCGCCCTCGCCGCCGTACAAACGGATCAAGGGTGAGCCGCCGCACTACACGCGCGTCGGCCAGCGATTCGAGGGTGAGCTGCGGTGTGTGTCTGGGTGCTTGCTCGTCTGTCGGTCCGTCTGTCCGCGATCTCTGCTCAACTCTGAGGTCTCTGGTCGTCCGGTCTCGTCTTCGGTGGACGTGGTGGATGGTGTATCTCTCATTGGAGGAACTACTGGGGATGTGGTAGTGTTCTGGATTTTTCTACTCTGTTGGCAATGGTGATAGTAATTCTGTGTTAGTGCTTTCCAATGACGAATACCTTTGCATGATGGTTAGCATTTTACCTTATGTTTGCTTAGGAGTTATGAATGCATGATTTGCTGTTTGCTTTATCTTTCTAACCTCCATATTCTCATTCGACACTAACATTTGCTATTCATGGTTTTTAAGTGTTTGTTCAACATTACAGTAGAGTATTTTATGCTACGAAGCAGTGCTGTCACTTTCTTGTTTATCTTTGGCAGTTTTTTAGCATCATTAAGACAGGAAACTGATCATTTCCACTGGCCCGTCGTTCCGCCCATATAGGCGCCCGTCTGACCCCGCCCCGTTCCGCGGCCGCAGGTCTGCACCTGGGTGACGTGCCAACCACACCGCGCACGCTGCTCGAGGACTGCATGATGCCGCCGCAGGCGCCGCGCGACCTCAACGCTAACAGCCTGCTGCGCTCGCGCCCCGACATGCGCAAGGTGCTGGCGCGCACCCGACCGGGCCGCGACCGCGACCGCGCCGCCGCCGTCAACGTGAACCCGTTCACACCCAAGAACCGGGCGGCGAGCGAGCGCAAACGGCACCGGGACAGCGTCAGCGGCGCCGATGGGTACGTGCTGCTTGGGGAGAGGGAGGTGCTGTGATGAAGGAGATACGTGTTTGAGTTGGTGGATACTCTAGACTTACTGCTATAATGGTTTGAGTGAAAGATTGGTCGAAGTGGTAGGTGGGAGGATGATGCAAATTTCGCTGAACTTTTAATGTTGAGTTTAACGTAGGTAACGTTTTGACGATGTTCGAAAATCGAACATTCTATCCTCGCCCTCTCGTGGTTAGGACATGTCGTGTTTCGTCGTTACCTTCGTCTCGGTTTTTCTTGTCAGTCGGCGTCGCTCTGATGCTGGCCCTGCACCACCGCCCTTACTAACGTCGTTCCCCGTTCCGCTCATCTTCCAGCTCGCTGCTGTCGGTGTCGACCGACTGTTCGATGGACGAGGGCGAGCCCGAGGAGCCGGTGCCCGCCAAGCGGCTGGCGCTCAGCGACGCCAACGTCTCGCGGCTCGACCACGAGTTCGTGCTGCAGGAGGAGGTGGGCTGCGGACAGTTCGGACAGGTGTTCCGCTGCACCAACCGGCTCGACGGCTGCACGTACGCCATCAAACGCAGCCGAAAACCGGTGGCCGGCAGCTCGCACGAGTGAGTACACGCCGCTAACCTGAGTGGCGATGGGGCGTTGGACTCGGGTGGGTAGTTGGTGATAGCGTCTGCTTTCCGCCGGGTGTTGTAAGATTTTCTAGTGTTTTTGTACCATTGTCTGATGTGAAAACTTATTTGTTCATCGTAGTGCCACCCATTTTGTAGGTGATATACGTCATCCATACGCCCATACTTGCGGACCGGCCCCGTGCCACCACCGTCTAACTCTCCACCCATTCCCCGTTCCTTTACAGACGCAGCGCGCTGAACGAAGTCTACGCGCACGCCGTGCTGGGCAAGCACCAGTACATCGTGCGCTACTACTCGGCCTGGGCCGAGAACAACCACATGCTGATCCAGAACGAGTTCTGCACGCGCGGCAGCCTGGCCGCGCTGCTGGAGAAACACCGCGCTGCCGGAACACTGCTGCCCGAGGCGCAAATCAAACGTATGATCCTGCACGTGGCGCGAGGACTCCGGTGAGTTGGCTGCCTCAGGCAGTGGAATATCTTTCAAATATTTCTGCTAAGAGCATCGTCATTCTGTTCATGCTGTTATCTGTTTACTGTGTAAGTCACTGTTGGATCTTTGTTGGATCAGTGTTGTAAATCATTCATCCGACCATCACGATTTCGACCTCATCCCTGACGCAATGGAAAGTCAGATGTCACGGCCACGGGACATTAAGCAATGCCCTGACGATACCTTATGAGACCACCGCTAACAGATCTCTGACCTGCCTCCCTCCAGGTACATCCACTCGATGCACCTGTGTCACTTGGACCTGAAGCCGGGCAACATCTTCCTGACGGACAACGAGCTGTACAGCGGCGAGCGTCGCGCCGGCTCGCGGCTGGCCGAGGACGACGCGAGCGTGGTCAGCTCCGACGACGGCTTCGACGAGGACCTAGCCGAGGAAGACGACGAGATCATCTATAAAATCGGTCAGTTCAGACTTCAGAGATCGCTGTGGGATTGCTGCTCGGTGTCTTGTTAGCCGTCAGTTGAGTTGAATCTTGTCTATCGGGCTCAGTCCGATGATTGCCAGCAGTCGGAACAAAATGTTATGACCTCTGCAGCCCAAAGCGTTCCCAAACTAAATTGCCATCATTATTGGTCATATTCTTTCGAACTTCTTTCGGAGATTTGTTAAATTTCATGTAATGCAGCCTGCTAGCTGCTCACATATTACCATAGCTATATGAGGAAGCACAGTCTTGTTCTCAATTGTTTGTTAAGCTGTATTCCTTTAGGGTTATAGAGACTTTCCGTCATGCCTAGTCGCCTGCGACCGTTCCTCGCTGACGGGTGACCGTTACCGGCAGGCGACTTTGGCCACGTGACCTCCCAGGAGGAGCGTCAGGTGGAGGAGGGCGACTGCCGCTACATGCCGCGAGAGATCCTGGTCGAGGACTACGAGTGTCTGGCCAAGGCGGACATGTTCGCGCTGGGCCTGACGGCGCTCGAGTGCGCCTGCGGCCAGCCGCTGCCCAAAAACGGCGAGCCGTGGCAGGCGCTGCGGGACGGCATCGTACCGCCGCTGCCCGGCTTCTCCGAGGACCTGCGGCGACTCATCCAGGTAAGTTGGTCGTTTCACGGCTGGATGGAAGGGAGGGTGTGTTTGGAAGTGGTTCGATGTTAAGTAGTCGACAAAGTTGTTACGGTGTCTAATGGGGATGGTACTTTGGGCATTGTTGATTGTGATGCCTTCTTGCTTCATTTGCTGAAATGGTTCATGTACTAAGGTTCAATGTGATGCTAGGGGGAACGGTTTACTGTCCTTTGTTGAATATCTCCAGTGTAGGTACTAGCACACGTTGATCGTTTCACGACAGGATGTTTCCTTCTGACGTGCCAGCTAAGTCATAGCCTGCCTGTTGTCAAATGCTCGTGTTCGTGTTTGACCGATGCTGTGCTGGCTGTTGCCGTCCCTCTGACCGCTCCGCCGTCTCTGTTTCAGCTGCTGATCGACCCTGACCGGGCGCGGCGTCCGACGGCCGCCGAGCTGCTGGTCCACCCGTGCCTGCAGCCGGCCAGCTGCCGCAGCCGCGCCCAGCTGCGCAGACAGCTCAACGCCGAGCGGCTGGAGAACCAGCTGCTGCGCTCGCAGCTGGCCGACCTGAGCAGCACGCACTGCTCACCGGAGCGGGGCGGCGGCGGCCGGCGTGCCATCGGCCGCGGCACGCCCCGCAGTCGGAGCACCACCTTCTGACTGGACCGGGCGCGTCAGCGGCACCGCCGGGCCTAGCTCGCTGGTGCGGTGGGGTCGGCAGATCGCTCCGTCTACAGACTGCTGATGTGAGAGCGGGACAAGGTGTGCGCGAGTGTGTGGCTGAGGATCCTTCCCGGTTCTGTCTCGTGTTTCAGTGTGCGCCTGCTGCGCTGTGCGCGCGTCTGTGAGTGTTGCAGTGTCTCCGTTTGCTGTCCGCCGTGACGCTCCTCTGTCGGTCCGCGGCAGCGCCGCACACCCCCTCCGCCCGTCCCAGTATACGGCAGCCTTTTTGTACTCGCCGGGCGGCGGGCGGATTTTAACCTCGGCCAGGTGCCGATTTTACCGCTGTTATGAGGGGACCACTTTTCTGCCGGTCGGCCGGCCGGCCCTTTTTACTGTAGACGCGCGCGGCTCTCGGCCGGTCTCGCGGCACTGGGAGGGACGCACTCCCAGTCAGGGTATTGTCTTTCAGCATGCCGTTTACCAGGACCAGACGCACGCGCGCGAACGCGACCGGTTGTGAACTCTCGTCCCCGGGTCTGTCGGGCGCCGCCCGTACGTGTGTACATATATCTATATATTATATAGTACGTGTAGTGCGCAGTGCCGCCCCGGCGGCGGCTGGGCCGCGGCTTGTCTAGTTTTCTGATCCTTTTCGCGGCGCGAATGTGTCGAGTGAGCGTGTAATCATGATTGTGCCGGCGCCGCGTCCGCCGGCGTGTGCCTTGAGCGTGGCTGTGACCGCCCGCGGGACGAAGAAGAAACGAACCAAGAGCCGAGACAGTTGGTATTTTATTCGTCTTTATTGAACGTTTCCAATAAAGAATGAGAGCAGTACAGCTGAGCGGAGAGTGCTGGCGGCGGGGGTCGATATCACTGGAGGGAGACGTTAGCCGGGCGGCCAGCCCATCTGCCGGCCGCCCATAACGTGCAGGTGCAGGTGGAACACCGACTGAGCTCCATCGGGGCCGTTGTTGATCACTGGAACACACAGGGAGCGCGCATCGGTCAGTCGGACGGGCACTGCGGGAGACGGGCACAGCGGGTTACATTCGAAAACGGGACACTGGGTCGGCTTGTACACACTTGTATTGACACGTATCATGCGAGAGGTGGAGGAAGATTTCGTTGCAATGCGCTGGACGAAGCTCAAAAGAGATTCGGTGAAGAGTGATTCGGGCAGGTTATTAGCACAAAGAATCCAAGGAGCTCGTCGCTGCCCCCCCCCCCCAAAAAAAAACGTGAATGGGGACGAGTGAGTGAATGACAAACGCCATTCATTGCATTTTGGACAGACGCGCTGACTGCGTTATGGAATTCGGTAAGGTAGGTGATATAGCCTCATTTGAGTTCCGCACATCGAAGTTCACAGTGCATCGTACACTAACCGAGCCGATAGCCGTTGTCGAGTTTCTCCTGCGCTGCCGTCTTCTTGGCGACAAGCATCATATGACCGAGAAGCTGTGGAGGTCATATCGCATCAGAAGCCGAATCAACCCTACACATTCCATAAATATACGACACAAAACATATAGAAGAACGGGTAGAGGAGCTAACAATAACTGGTGAGTCGTATGCCGCTCGGGAGTAGTAACAATCGGTATGCGGTGTCTGGTACAGCTTCGTCCGGCGCATGGCGGGTGACGCCGCGCTGCTTTATGACAAACATCCACCAGAGAAGGGTTGGTGACTGTATATCACTGCCCCCCCCCCCCCCCCCCACACACACACTGAGACACACCACAGCAGCCGGCGCCACCCTGGAGTGGGTCTGATCTGATCCACGTGTGGAGCACCGCTCCGCTAGAGGGTAACGGACATATTACATCCTCGTCCCGCCCCCTGCTCGGCTGTGACAAATATCCACGAAATATCTGAGGGACAGCAAATACCACTCAACCTGACCTCCAATTTCAAACCCTGATCATCTTCCGTGCTAATAAAGAAATAACATAGCAATGTCAATCAACCAGTCTCATCCCATTGTTATACCATTGTATCGTGCCAAATACCAACCACTATGTCCCGGATTCCATAATGCAGGGTAAAGGCCAAGATTACTTTACTAATAGGTGAAGGCTAGCAAACATCCTCCGTATCAGTGTACACTGTACTGTGTAGCCCCCTCCCCATGCTGCACTCAGTCACAACTATGTACAGAGCACGGTCGAGCACGTCCGCTGTGCAGGATGCACGGCGCACCCAACGAACCAAAGAGCCGGGCTGTGACGTTTAATACGCTGAACCAACCAACACAGCGACGAAAACATGCACCACATATGCGGAGCGGGCCGCTTTCAGGATCTTACCCGACTCGCCGTCCGGAGTTCACGTTCGTAATCACGTACGGAAGACCATAGTCTTAGCCCTTTATTTTTTTTTTGCCTTTTTCACTCCCCCACACCTCCTCTGCCATCTCAGAGCTCTTTCCCTCCCCCCACTACCTCACAGCTCCCCCTGCCATCTAAGGGCTCTTTTACTCCCCACACCCCCTCTCCCTCCCCAGCCTCACCTGCTGGTCAGCCTCCTCTGCGTCCGAGAGGGAGCTGAGCCGCTTCTTGGGGATGACTAGGAAGTGGGTGGGCGCCTGCGGACTGACGTCGCGAAACGCTAGACACTGGTCGTCCTCGTAGATGATGTCGGCCGGGATCGACTTGTCGATGATCTTGTCGAAGATGGTGGGGCCGGGCGCCGGTTTGGCGGCACGTGCCTTCTCCACCTCGTCACTCATGGCTCGCCGCGGCGGGAGGAGCGGTGCCGACGGCAGGCAGCGGTCGGCGGCCTGAGGGGGATGGGCACGGGGGGTCACCGGTCGGTGGCCTGTGGGGACGGGTACAGGGGGTCGCCGGTCGGAGGCCTGTGGCCTGTGGGGGCGGACGCGAGAGGTCACCGATCCGCAGTCTGTGGGGGACGAGAACGGGTCACTGGTTGGTGGCAGCCGGCGACTGGGCGAGGAGGGGAGAGCACGGGGAGGGGGGCAGACAACTGTGTCATACGTACGAGAAAGGTGCACACTTGCTCAATGGTAAGATACCCATCCGTGCGCAGGACGTCAAACGTTTGCATACCGATTACACGTGTGCCTAACCCGGAGCATACAAGGTCGCTCAGTGTTCACGATCAAGATGCTTCTCTAACAATATGTACTTCGCATTAGATCGCTTCCATTTCATGACGTTCGCAACTCTTTCTGTTTGCTATTATTGTCACTTGCTCACGCCTCAGCTGCCGCCACAACTGACGTGGTGTAATTTCACGGGGCATATACAGCGCGGCGTTTAACGACGACACATCCACGAAACCAGACCGCATAAACAACTAACAAGAGCATACCCGAGCGTTGACAAAAACGCAGCCATAGCTGTTCCCAGGCCAATTTGTTAGTACAGCGGGCTCCAGATATCTACTACTAGGCGGCGGTTATAACTTATACCCCATGTGTCGTGCACAGCACATACGCCCGAAAGATGCCTACAAAGTAGTTCGGATCACGTACCAACAGAGCAGGCCGTCTAATGCTCGCCGATCTCGTTATCCAACTCGCGGAAGATAAATGCAATACCAGCCTTGGAAGCATCGCTCTGAAACACAACGATACCATGCCTTCCATCAAAGGTTGACGAATCGTTTGGCTTACGGTTGCATACCTATGAATGAATGGCTATTGAACAATACTGTTTACCTAACTAATTCAACTAAAATATCCGTGTTCGGGAAAGCGGTCTTCATGATCCCAGATTGTGCTAATTGTACCCAGCTATAAACGGACGTTTGAAAACGTTCGATATGTATCCAAAAAGGAACATCATATGCGTTTATGGATGCAATTAAAGTCTAACAAACTATGCCGTCGATAGCACGTAGCTGTAGGTTACCAGCGAAGAGCGGACTACTGAACCTATAGCCACTTTTCACCAAAACATGTCAGGACATTTCACGGTTGGGTGGGTTTCACGCTACGTCTCGTTCGCAGGCATTGATTGGCATTCAAATCAGACAATAACTAGCAAAACACGAGATAAACAGGTGATGCTTCACTATTTCGAGCGGCCCATCGCCTTCTTGGTCATTCGTTGCATAAATTCACGAAAAAAATGTTGAAAGAATACGTTTATTTGATACTTGAGTTTGATATGATGCACACAGCTAAAAACACGAGGTTACAGATGCCTATTGCGCTACACATTAGCGCAGCTAGGGTCTTGAGCTCAGCTAAGTCTTAATGTACTACGTCTAACTACTAACCCCACAAGTCTAAAAAAAAAAAAACGAAATAAGCAAAGCAGGCCGATGTAGTGCGGCTGGCAAGACGCTTCAAATTCAGGCTACAGAACGCACAGAGCCAAAGTATGTGGTTATCGTGAAACGAAACTCCGCGGAAAACACATAAGCATGACCAGTAAGCACAGCACGCAAAGGTACGAATCAAGATCGTGGCAAATACAGCCCAATTGAAAGAAATTTAACATGCATAGTCGAGGTTTACACCATAGATGAGCCCGACATCGATTCTAAGCACGCATTTTCGGGAGCTAGCCAAATATAAGTTCGTTAATTTGATGCCAGGTCACACTAAGATATGCTCCAGTGTATCTATCAATTGAAATAACCACTTATACTCTGCAGCTCTGATCCTGGATCCGCCACTGAACACACGAAGGAAAAGTGCAAATCATGCTAAACATGCCTAAACATTCGCCAAGCAAAAAGCATCAGAACCTTTACGAGCAGGCGACAAATGATTCAGCCTTGTACATTATTCGCCATTTGTTACAGTGTACTTTGGTACTTGGTAGGCAGCCCTCGAACACCATGACATCCGCTATACAGGGTAGGGCGTTATTTATTACACTATGGTAGGGCACAGCACTCTAAATTAGCCTCTGCACAGTCCACGGAACAAGGCACACCACTCGAGATATGGGAGCGGGGGGGGGGGGGGGGCTGATAGCGGTCGGTCGACACGCTCCGTGCCCTCGCCGGCGGCTGGGTGGCAAACATCCGGCCTGCGACGAACACCACAAAACAGTGAACTCTGGCCCAGGGGCGGAGAGACATCCAGCTTCGTAAAAATGTCACTGTTGGAGTTCTGTTGGATACGAGACATGGAAGTGCACGGATTATTTTGCACTGGATATCCAGAAAGTCAATTTTCGAATAATTAAGTCATTAATTAGACTGTTTGTTCTTGATTGATGTCGCCCCTTTTACATCGCCACTGATATTTCTCCCCCGATGCCCCAGCCTCAACCCCGCGTCCGACTGGGACAGCTCAGTGCAGCTGCACGGGGATCAGCAGGCAGATCATGTCCTTCTTCTCCGCGTCCAGGATCTCCCACTTGACCAGCGCCGAGACGGCCGGGAAGATCCTCTTGATGGCGATGGCCTGCGAGTAGTGCTGCGCCGAGCCCTTGGCCACCGGGCACGTCATGCCGCCAGCCGTGCAGGCGTTGTCGTCGGGCAGCTCGAACGGCACAAAGATGGGCACGCCGGAGACCTTGCCGTGCACGGAGGCGGTGGCCGACTTGCTCTCCTCGCCGGCCGTGAAGGTGATGTTGAGGGTGGCCGTCCGGCCGCGCACCAGCACGCACTTGGGCCCGTTGCCGCAGGGCGTGATGCTGACGTCGCTGATGGTGGCGCCCTTGGAGCCGCAGTCGGTGTAGTGGATGGCCAGGGAGGCCGGCACCAGGACCGCCACCAGCACCGCCGCCATCGCCACGCGCGCCGCCGCCATCTCGCAGTCCGGGGGTATCGGGGCAGTGACTGGACAGCTGTCTGGAACAACCGAGGAGTGACTGGCCGGCGGCCCTCTCGGAGCATGCGGTGCGGAGCGCGCGTCGGGTGACAGGTGCATGCCGATGCCACTCCTCAATATGACATCACCTTTTTCCGACAGACAATCTTTACTGATACACGACCACACGGGCACAGACTGATGACATATGCCGGACGGCGGACAGCGTGACTATTAAACAAAATAAATTTAGTCTGAACCTTTCAAATGGAAGGATTCACAAGGACAGAACCCCCGCTAAGCCAAGCTTGTTGCGTTGACCCTGCACTCTACCCTCTGATAGCGCAATTCCGGATCTATGACAGAATTTGGAGTCCAAAGTTTAACGAGCGCACATAGCCGGGCAAGGCTGGTCCTCTCACTGACTTCGCCTGGCTACTGCCTGCCACCAACCGCAACCATACTTGTCAGGAGGCTCATAAACGTCAAGCGTCGTCGCGCTTCGAACCCGGACTGATAGCCGGGAGCTCGTGCTCTCACCACGCGGAGTCCAAAACTCTACCGACTGAGCTACGGAAGTCCCGTACCTCCCGTAGTACGGTAGTCCCGTACGGGAATCCCGTTATTGCACGACGACTTTCTGCACAACACCCACAGCTTTACAAGCCATGTTACATAAAACAATAAACATCATAACTACTGCATCTACATTGTTCACATAAATGTCTGCCAACCAAGAGTGTTTGAGGTAAGCAGTAGGTTTGATAAATTGAATTCTAATAAATATTGACATTTTTTAAAAACATTATTATCACTCCATTAAATATTTGTATTTAATTACCATATCTAACTAACAGTAGGTTTATTTATTTGAAACAACTGCAGCTTATATGAAAACAAGTTACATGTGCACATACACTTTTAATCAAAAACAGAGATAAACTTGAATATTCAGTAGAAAACAGTGGTGTGCAAAACTAAGAGAATGATGACTGGTACCAATTCAAATTAGGAAAAGGGTGCAATAAGGCACCAGTGAAATGATGCATAAGTATAAGTATTAAGTAATATAGAAATAAAGATCTATACAGCTACTTTTGAAGCTCTTGAGACTTGAAATCACAACAAATCCTATGTGCTGGAGATAATATTTCAAGCATTTGAATGTGGGTAATAAGATGTTATTACTGGGTGCTCGCACCATAGGGCGTGGACTTATGGATTATGGATGCTTATCTTGTTGCTAACAACCTTCCATGCCCATTCAACCAAGTTAGCCTCTCCCGACCAAGATGCTGCTCTGACCAACCAGGCAATCATCAGCACAAATTATTCCCCTGGTTGCATCCCTTCCCTTCCCTTGCACTGAGTCAAAATATTTAGCCATCAAGTGACAAAAGACTGTCAAAAGACATTACATCCACTGGATGGAGCTTGAGCTGACTAAAGAAGAATAAGTTGAAGGCTGGTACAGGTCATCAACTCTGCTGCTATACTTTGTGCAATCTGGGGGAATATTTATGCCGAACACTCCCATCGGTCATCGGATGATGGGAATTTTCAATCAATTAAATCAATTCTCAATCAAAGTTCAATGAGCAATGAGCATACTCTTGAAATTAAAATAGATCAATCAAAGGCATTATTTGCCTTACCTTGCCAGGTACAGAAATTTAGAAGGCCAAACTTGGCCGTCCTGGTCTCATCGCAATCGAGCTTGAGCTCCGTGCATAAGGACAGACATTGACATAGGATTAGCTTAGATCATTTGTTCACCATTTGAAGGAAAAACTCAAATAGAAATCCAAAGGCTCACTAACCGCACTAACCTACCTACCTTTCACGCAGCCCCGCTGATCCACTCGTCAACCGGCAAGTCAAAGTCGGAAATGAGACAAACAACACTGGCGTCGTCGTAAAAATAATTATAGGGGCTTGAGCCCTGTTCAGAAAATATTGGCTTCAAGGCAACAGCTGCGGACCTCCCTCTGTTGCACGGCAACTTGCTATTTTATTAGCAGGTTGCTACGGTGAAATGTGATTTGTCTCCTACATTTCGGAAAAGAGCTGCTTTTGAACAGGATTGCGCCAAAAAAGTAATTTTTGAATAAATGAATGAATAATGAATGAATGGCAAGGCGATGAATAGTAAATAACCTATTGGAATTGAAATAATTAAATTTCATTCGGAATTGGAAATAGAACGGCATCGAAATGGGAGTGCAGTGAAGCACAGGAGGTTCTCTGAAGGTACACACAAGTTTTTAACTTTCAACAGCAGTGTTGGCTCAGGCTGACGGCTGTTGATAGATATTGCACTTTGACTTGTTGGGTACCTACCAATGGAAGACTACCGAAGTTCGTAAATCAAAATGTTACGACAAGGCCCTAAATTGTCAAGAAATGTTTCGAGTTATGATTGCATTTATATTTCATCGTCTGCATTGTACGTAATACGTACACGTATGAAATCATTTATTCAAAAGTCTTTCGAATTCCGAGCTCAAACTGAAATTGAGTGCTCTGTCAATTTCAGACAATAAAAAATGTCTGAAATGTAAAAGGTCTTCTTGTGCGGTCCTCAGTGTCTGTGCGTGTCGTATCCATAGGAATATTGATATATCTATAGGAATCTTTGTCGTATCTACTTGCGTGTCGTGTCGTGTGATGTCGAAAGTCAAACGTAGGTGTACTTACTACTTACATATTGGTATAGGAAAGGGCTTTGAGTCAAATTACTTTCAGCAAGGATGTGGAGTCTATGGAATTTCGGCGACTCCGACGCCGACTCCCACTCCGACTTCATGCAGAGCAGAACTGTCGACTCCAACTCCGACTCCGACTCCGCAGACCTGGCAGGGCTGCGGAGTCGATGGATTTTCGGTAACTCCGGCCGCGACTCCGGCTCGGGCTTCCAGAATCGACTCTGACTCCGACTCCGGTCAGATCTGTCGACTCCGACAGACTCCGACTCCAATTCCGACTCCGCAGCCCTGCTACTTTGCACTTAGCGATACCTTAGATGTTTTAGCCAATTAAAATTATTTAGTTAGGATAGTAAAAGATTCTTGCCACCGGGGTCATCGATCCCTGCTTCCGACGGATTCAGAATCGAGAAGCTGTGGCTGGTATATACCGTCAAAATAGCCCAAGACTAGGTAAATAAACTGAATATTCGTAGCTGATAGCCTGCGCCCGACCGTGACCGGTGGGCTCCGGCCTCCGAGCCCGATCACCGTCCGTCACCATGAGCCCACTCTGACTCGCATCGTAATTCGTGCCTACCCGGCCCTACCCAAAGTATTTTCTTTCGATACCTATGTATTTACCTACTCCAGAATAATATATTTTTTAGATTCTAGGCTCTGGAACCAGAGGGCAGCTGGCGGATCCACAGCCGTTTATAGGTGGGAATCCGGGGAACCAGAGATGACCCAGAGATCCGGATGACCTTTTCATTCACCAGAAAATATCCATTTCAGTCCCGCCATTCTTGGTACGCTGATGAGAGTAAAAACCTACCCATGGTTTAGTTTTGGGACAGAAGACTTAAGATGCACTGAAAAAACTTACACCTAGAGAGTTATTTTTGGAGTTTTTCCACTCCAGTTTGGCGAATAATCACGCACCAATGGCATATAATGATTATGTTTTGTAGCGTATTCTTACTCTCTGCATTGCATTAAGGGCGTTTTTGAAAGTTATTCTTAAACCTGGTACTATAATCATCTCTTTTGTGTTTTAGCAAGTGGCAATTTTATCTTCTAATTTTATCACGTGTCCTTTTTATTCTTTCGGGTTATAGATTTATATCAGTCTCAAAGAGGCATGGGGTAATTTTAGCTTAGTTCACAGTGATAAACAAGGTCATTGGAATATATTTGTGCTGAACTCCCATTAGATAGTAATAAAATTGACAGCTAGAGTACTTTTATCAAAACTGCATAAAAATAAACCGCTGTGGAGTAATTAGGGTAATTTTTATACTCCATTACGGCTGATAAATTGACGCGACAGAATAAAACCATTCTCATGTAGGTGTAAAAATTACTTCCTTCGTGATAAAACTATCATGTCCGGACAATAATTTTATAACCATGGAGTAATATTATGTGGTAGCATTACTAACATTATTCTTCGGGAGTATTCGGGAGCGTATTTCAAGCAATACTGCATCACTTTCTTGATATTCCTATTCCGTCGTGACATAACTAATCTAAAAGTGATTAATCTATTCGTCCAGCACAGTATTATTCCAAGAATAATATTTTCGGAACGTCTCTTCAGTTCGTGACCATTCGCGACCGCCATTGTGCTCAAGTCGTCAGAACCAAGGCCTTCTGTCAGAGAACCGAGCAAGCGTCCCAGTCCTCGAAGGTAAGCTGAAATTACTGTATACTTTGTGTTTTGTTAGTATGACTTAACAGTAATCCGTAGTATGACCATACAATCCAAGAAATGCGTTGACGTAGATTTGCGGACGAAGATTTCCGCGATGATGAAATTCTGGAAGAGAAATTGTCAAAACAAATTGACAAATTGTTGTTACAAACAAACAAAACAAATTGTTAAAACGGTCATATCCGGACATCTACTTTTTGTTGTTTCTATCCTCCCAATATCACGATAGAAGAAAACACGTTTAATGAACGTAATCTTGTTCAGTGTTCACTGCCTGATAAAGCTGTCCATGAAATAAAAAAAAACGGTTCTTTTCTTTCTCAAAGGTGACTCTGCGGAAGAACAGCTTCCGACAGAAACTTCGGAACAGATTCAAGAACTGTCGAAAGCCACTGAGCATTGAGCAACGCCGTCATCGACACGGAAAGACGAGCCAGGGGCATCGATGTGAAAAAGCGTGCGGCAGCTGAAGAGGGGATGCCGGGGATGTTTCCCAAAACGAAGAAGTCGAAGCTAGACATCCGCACCGAAACCGCCAAGTTCAGTGCCAAGCTAAAGCACACCGATGTCACTCACAAGACATCTGTTCTCAAAGATTCCTTCGAGGTTCGGCGGATATGCCTCACGAGCAACCGAAACCGGAAGACTGGCGAGGAGATGAAGGAGATATTCCCGGATATGTACAGCGAAGCTGCCGTAAGTGTTGCTTTATTCGGTATTTAAAAGTCTTGTCTAATGTTATGTGTGATTGAACTCGAGATTCCTTTACTAACAGGGTAGTTCAGTAGGAAAATTTGACCGCCACGGTGACGTCACAGTGGCTATGCGTAAGCGTGGTGTAGTTAAAATGTCACATTTGACATCTGTGCCTTTTAAGGGTGGATTATCGAGAAACGGGGCTTCAAACATTCATGCCAACGTGTTTTTTTTTATAAACTTCCCAATTATAAGCTCGCCAGTTGACCCAGATGATCACCATCTTCCTATGTATTATGAATGCGTGGGAACTTTTTTCCCGCCAGCGCGGCAGCGTGATGTAACGGTAAAGGAATTTTGAAACTCGTTAACGGGGGATGGTTGAACTGAACTAACTATATAATTAGTGGCACCATTTTATATCCGAGCTATCAGGGAACAACATTGGATGGGAAAACATCTGGAAAATTTGTATAATCTTTAACCCACTCCCTCTGGTTTTTCTACCGCCTGCTGGGAAGTCACCCCCCCCCCCCTCCCATCTAACTTGGCGGGTCCTAAGCAGCGTAACCGTAACGAAACGCTCAAGGCGGAGTTGGGAATCTTGTCACAAACCATGACGAAAGCATTCCAGTCATTTTTATCAGGTAAAAGATCACCAGAGGTTGACACTTGACGTGGCGCGCTTTCAAACTTTTTGTGAGCTGGAGTAACTTACCTGACCTGACCTTCCACAATGATATAATGTTCACTTGATGTTGCTTGATGTTAATTCCATTCATTAATGTGATTTTGCGATGTTTCCAGGTGTGGACTGACTTGGGAATGATCATGGGGCTCGAGGAGGACGTGATTACAGCGTTACCGCTGGCGTCTCGCTGGTTTCCCCAGATTCTCACGAAAATTTCCCTATTTTAAAAATCATTTCCCTAGATGCGGTTTTTTTCATGGAATTTGACGTACTTTCTCTCATTTTAACCATTCGTGTTATAGTCGCTGCGTCCGAAAACTGCAATTGACTACATTCTGTAACGTTAACGTAAGAGATTCTAATGAAATTGCTGGCATATAGCAAATTACTGTATGTGGTATAATATCCCTCGCCCGTATTGGTGTTTTTCCAGCCGCGAACGTATAAGGGGGGGGGGGTCCGTTGGACCCCCCCCCCTTGCCGTTTTGCCCCTGATCGAGCTAGAGCTTCGCGGAAAAAACGAGCGTGTTGCCCGTGACGAGAGGAAGCCGATGATACCTAATTTTAAGGTCCTAGGTCATTGGTTGACCTTGCAGGTCAGGTCAATGACCCAAAAGTCGGGAAAATCGGGACCTGTTAGAACGTCGTAAAGTGTGGCTGCTGTGAGGTTTTTCGGGGCGCTGATCACGAATATCATGTTAGCTTTGATCACAGATGATGTCTTTATGCATTAAGTCCAGGTCGGGTCAGGTCAGGTCAGGTCAACCAGTAGGGGTCCTGCCGGGTATTCCTAGTATGTGTCAACCGCCTCTGACAGCTTCGTAACATGTTACGAAGGTACCAAAACTACTTCGTAAACGTTCATATGACTGCTAAATTCGAATTCAGCTCCAAAAACTGGCCTAGAAACATGTAAAACTCGAAAAAGTGAACCGAGGTCACCAAAGGTCAATGACCTGACCTGACCTTCAGGTGACCTTGACACCCACCCTAATGCATGGGGGCAACATCATATCACATGTTTGAACGCTTGAAACCATGAAAAGACTGCAAACGCGCGGCTAATGCGAGCCGACATACGCCGAATCGCGATTCCGGCCAAACATGGTCTCGAAAAGTAGGTCACAGGTCAAAGGTCATTGGGGTCAGGGTCGTGAAATTTTCAGGGTAGGTGTAAAATTGATCAACGCGAAGGTACTGAAAGTTTCGTCGCGATCGGCCGCTTTTTACGCGAGTTATTCGCGAAAAACCATGGGGGGAGTCCGTTCGACCCCCCCCCCCCCCTATACGGGCGAGGGATATAATAGGGTGCATACTGCATAGGCGGCGGAACGGGGAGGGCACTGGGGCATCGTGCCCCTCTTTGATTTTTGCATTTTAACATTAGCCCTATGGGCGTTGCATGGAAAGAATGGGACCAAAAGTCGGCAGTGCCCCCCCCCCCCTGATTGGAGGCGTTCCGCCGCTACTGAGTGGGTGGTACCTATATCGCAAATTGTGTGTTGCGGGACGCGGGAAACTACCGTATGGGTAGCGGTAGTGCTGGCGATAAGAGACGAGTCGATGCATTATTTTGCATGCAGTCAGTTTGACCGTAAAGGAGTGAAATGCGCTAGAAATTTTAAAAATCACGCCAAAACAAAAACTTTGATGTAAAAAATTAGCCGCACACGAAATGGTACAAAGCATGGAAGCAGTTTGCTTTGAAATAATAGCAAGCATTATTTACACATGCATAGAAATGTAATTCCTTTTATATCTTTAAAACGAGAGTATCAAACCTGAATTTTGTGGAAAAATGTTCTCATATTTAGGTATTTGATATGACATGCGGAAGAATAATTCATGACAACAATGATTTCGATTGTTGAAAAATACCAAGATTCTTACAGATAAATAAAAATACAACAATTTTCGGGTTTGTGGTATTTCCCTAGATTTCGTGTGAAATCCATATATCCCTAGACCTTCGCTGATTTCCATAGAAAAGGGAAATTTCCCTAGCAGCGGTAACCCTGGACGTGAAGGAGCATGTCCTGCACAAAATCAGACATACCGCGAAGAAGTATGCCCAGATGATGATAAACGTGCAGGAGCCGGCCGACAAAGACGGTGAGTTTTGAACGGGCACAAGCACACCTTTTCGGATGAGGTGTTTCGCTAGCAACAATCGTGCCGGGGGGGGGGATACTCTATATATAACTGGGCTCGAGCCGATCATCGTAGACAATATATTCCTGGCCAGGGCTGGAATAATGTTTAGATCTGACTGATTTTTTTTTAGCGAATGTAAAGTTAGGCCCGACTCCGAGGTATTTTCGATAAATACGAGGTCAGGCCAAAACGTTAGCCAAGACCAAGTGTAGGAAGGTATTTCCCACGCATGCTTCTTCCTGCACGATGGAGAAATGACGTTTCACATATCCCAATGGCGTAATACATTAATAGCAGAGGGCAGGACAACTGTTTATTTTCTTGATGATTTTTTTTTTGGCTTAAAGGAAGACTGCCACGTTTTTTACACAAAACGGTTTTCACTAGACCTAACCCACCTATGATCTACCCTGAAGTCTGTTTCCCAAAATTCGGCCTAGTTTTCAAGATATCCGCAATTGGACTTCAGATTAAAGCCATCACAAATGTGTGGAATATGGGAATGTAACATTATCATGTTAAAATCCCATCTCCCACACTTTTTGTGATAGCATCAATGTGAAGTTCGAATGCGGATATCTCGAAAGACGAATTTCGGGAAACGGACTTCAGGGTAGGTCATAGGTGGGTCAGGTCTACTGAAAACCGTTTTAAACCGAAAACCGTAAAAAGGTGGCACTTTAACGACGGGCGGGACAACATGTTGTACCTCACCTTTGGACAGCCAATCGTCGTTGGTTTTGCTATTAGTCAAAAAGTGTTGTTTAACTCTAGTGATATTGAAAAGTCATGGTTGTCTCCATTCAGGTTGTCTCCATTCATGGTTGTCTTCATTGTCTCCAAATATACCACAGTTACATGCAGTTTGATACCTACTTGCACTCCATACTTAACCATGACAGCGGAACATCGGGTACTAATTTCTTATTTCACTGAAATATTTTAACGACGCATAATTATTTTGTAATTATGCACCACGTTTAGTTGTAAGAGTGTATCGTACTACGCAAACGTACTACGCATCGTATACTACGATTTTGAGAGTGAAAATAAATCAGGAAGAAGCGAAGAATCGTCTCCAGATACTTATAGATGGCATAGCCAGCTACTGTACGAACGAGGTTCCTTGTTTCTCTCCTAGGTTTCCTTTACGTTTATTTGTACGATATGCATTGATGCCAACTGACTGCAATATTCTTTTTCACGGCAGACGACGAGCTGCTAGCTCTACTTGCCTATGGTTGTGGAACAACCATTGGCACCTTGGCGGATCCGAGAAACGGGGTTCGTCAGGCAGGTGAGGAACTATCGGTGGACGGTGTGGTGGTCTGCCAACTGCCGGCCACCAGGTTGGAGACCGTGGCCCTAATGACGGCCGCCCACGCTGTCTTCTACACAAAGTTCACGGGGCCCTGCAGGGCCCTGTTCGAGATTCTTTACCGGAGTGTGGGATTCGATGTAAACCTAGCTGGCTTATCACAGAAGGTGTGGGAGGTTACCCAGGTAGTGTAGAACCAGCATCGGAGATGCCCACTTCGAATGACTGCGACCTGTAGCTCACCTGTGGTTCAAGTGACTCGTGACTTGTGGCTCACCTGTGGCTCAAGTGACTCGCAACGTGTGGCTCACACTGCTGGAGCCTCTGTATTATGACTAATTCAGCTGCGGCGGTCTCAGTACGCTAATGAGTCTCAGTACGTCTTTCATAGCCCAGATCACGCTCGTTTTATATGCCATCCGTGGCGGTGGTTCTGTGCGCAGATGTTATTCGTTAGCCTCAGTGTTAACCATACACGCTCGTTTTATCTGCCATCCGTGGCGGTGGTTCTGTGCGAAGATGTTATTCGTTAGCCTCAGTGTTAACCATAACGTCCTTGTGAGTTGTGACCTTGAACGTCCTTCCAGTGATTTCGCATTGCGGCCGGCAGAGACGAAGTTTTGCCTCCCAGTTGAGACGCCGCTTCTCAACTAGGAAGCAAAATTACGTCCCTGTCGGCCGCAATGCGCCATCACTGGAATTGCGTCCAAATTAAGATGTACCTGCTGATGCTCAGGTACCATTCGTTAATCAATTGTTGGTGTTTCAATACATTGTTTAAATGCATTCCTTATTTTACACTTGGTCATAATATTATCACATCACCCCGCATTATCAGGGGTGGTACTTTTACACCGGGGCTTGATTTTACCGGGGAGTTACTCCGGGGTAGAATTATCGAAAAAAGGAGTGCTTTTTGGCATGGCAATATTATTCCCCGAATGGGAGTAATTTTAGTATTAAGTTAATAAAATTATCATCTGGTGTAATTTTATCCAAAGATAGCATACTTTTATCCTCCGTCATAAAATTACTCCCTAGCGCGAATAATATAAGCGTTCGGATACTAAATATATTCTATATGCTAGTTTTATTCCCCAAAACTCCCCATTTTAGGCGCTTATGCCAGGTCATAAAATTATTCGATTGCAGGAGTGCTTTTTGGCATTCTAAAATTAGAAAATGGGGAGTAAGTTTTTTTCAGTGTGCACTGAAAAAAACTTACTCCCCATTTTCTAATTTTAGAATGCCAAAAAGCACTCCTGCAATCGAATAATTTTATGACCTGGCATAAGCGCCTAAAATGGGGAGTTTTGGAGAATAAAACTAGCATATAGAATATATTTAGTATCCGAACGCTTATATTATTCGTGCTAGGGAGTAATTTTATGATGGAGGATAAAAGTATGCTATCTTTGGATAAAATTACTCCAGATGATAATTTTATTAACTTAATACTAAAATTACTCCCATTCGGGGAATAATATTGCCATGCCAAAAAGCACTCCTTTTTTCGATAATTTTACCCCGGAGTAACTCCCCGGTAAAATCAAGCCCCGGTGTAAAAGTACCACCCCTGATAATGCGGGGTGATGTGATAATATTATGACCAAGTGTAAAATAAGGAATGCATTTAAGCAATGTATTGAAACACCAACAATTGATAAACGAATGGTATCTGAGCATCAGCAGGTACATCTTAATTTGGACGCACTTCCAGTGATGGCGCATTGCGGCCGACAGGGACGTAATTTTGCTTCCTAGTTGAGAAGCGGCGTCTCAACTGGGAGGCAAAACTCGTCTCTGCCGGCCGCAATGCGAAATCACTGGAAGGACGTTCAAGGTCACAACTCACAAGGGCGTTTTGGTTAACACTGAGGCTAACGAATAACATCTGCGCACAGAACCACCGCCACGGATGGCAGATAAAACGAGCGTGTATGGTTAACACTGAGGCTAACGAATAACACCTCCTCACAGAACCACCGCCACGGATGGCAGATAAAACGAGCGTTTATGGTTAACACTGAGGCTAACGAATAACATCTGCGCACAGAACCACCGCCACGGATGGCAGATAAAACGAGCGTGTATAGGTTAACACTGAGGCTAACGAATAACATCTGCGCACAGAACCACCGCCACGGATGGCATATAAAACGAGCGTGATCTGGGCTATGAAAGACGTACTGAGACTCATTGGCGTACTGAGACCGCCGCAGCTGAATTAGTCATAATACAGATGATCCAGTAGTGTGAGCCACACGTTGCGAGTCACTTGAGCCACAGGTGAGCCACAAGTCACGAGTCACTTGAACCACAGGTGAGCCACAGGTCGCCAGTCATTCGAAGTGGGCATCTCCGATGCTGGTTCTACACTACCTGGGTAACCTCCCACACCTTCTGTGATAAGCCAGATAGGTTTACATCGAATCCCACACTCCGGTAAAGAATCTCGAACAGGGCCCTGCAGGGCCCTGTGAACTTTGTTAGAAGACAGCGTGGGCGGCCGTCATTAGGGCCACGGTCTCCAACCTGGTGGCCGGCAGTTGGCAGACCACCACACCGTCCACCGATAGTTCCTCACCTGCCTGACGAACCCCGTTTCTCGGATCCGCCAAGGTGCCAATGGTTGTTCCACAACCATATAGGCAAGAAGAGCTAGCAGCTCGTCGTCTGCCGTGAAAAAGAATATTGCAGTCAGTTGGCATCAATGCATATCGTACAAATAAACGTAAAGGAAACCTAGGAGAGAAACAAGGAACCGCGTTCGTACAGTAGCTGGCTATGCCATCTACAGTACATATCTGGAGACGATTCTTCGCTTCTTCCTGATTTCTTTTCACTCTCAAAATCGTAGTACGATGCGTAGTACGATACACTCTTACAACTAAACGTGGTGCATAATTACAAAATAATTATACGTCGTTAAAATAGTTCAGTGAAATAAGAAATTAGTACCCGATGTTCCGCTGTTATGGTTAAGTATGGAGTGCAAGTAGGTATCAAACTGCATGTAACTGTGGTATATTTGGAGACAATGAAGACAACCATGAATGGAGACAACCTGAATGGAGACAACCATGATTTTTCAATATCACTAGAGTTAAACAACACTTTTTGACTAATAGCAAAACCAACGACGATTGGCTGTCCAAAGGTGAGGTACAACATGTTGTACCGCCCGTCGTTAAAGTGCCACCTTTTTACGGTTTTCGGTTTAAAACGGTTTTCAGTAGACCTGACCCACCTATGACCTACCCTGAAGTCCGTTTCCCGAAATTCGTCCTAGTTTTCGAGATATCCGCATTCGAACTTCACATTGATGCCATCACAAAAAGTGTGGGAAGATGGGATTTTAACATGGTAATGTTACATTCCCATATTCCACACATTTGTGATGGCTTTAACCCGGCAGTTGCTGGGGTATTTCGCCACCCATCGTTTGCTGGGGGGGGGGGGCGTTAAACGCCCCCAGCCGATAACTCGAGAACCAATAGGCGCAGCGAAACGCACGAGACGGCAAACGAAAGAACGCGACGAGACGCTTCAGACGCGTACTCTTAAGTTGAATTTTGAGGTCACAGGTCGGGTCAAGGTCAGGTCAAACACCTGAAATCGGGCTTTCAGTAGCAAGGACTTCAGGACTTCGCAATGGACGCCTCTCGTCATAAACTCTGTCAAAACGGTGCACAATTCATCATATAAGGCCTACAAGAGTGTAAGCTCCATGTAGGGGTCGGTCAAGCATAGGTCAGGGTCAAGGTCAGGTCAACCGGGTAGGCACATATCCCCGAAAATCAAAACTGATATTCGCAGCCCGTGACACATGTTTTATGGGGAATTTGAGGCGTGGAACACGATGGTGACATTCATTTTATCATATGTGTACGTGTTTGGCTCAAAAAGTTCAATTTAAGAAATGCATGCATCATGGTCGTGAAGTAGTCACGAGAAATTGCCAAGATTCAGTTCAAGATTTTGGAAAATGCGGAACGATAATCAATAATCGAAGATAGCCATTTGATTGTCCATGGTATTGGCAGTCTCATGGCGTTTACGGTTTGTCTGTATGTCTATTCTGTGATTTTTTAAGATTTTTTGAACACATGCCGTTTTTGGTCGAAAACTCAGAAATCATGACGTCACTAACACCTCGATATCTCAAAATTTTTCCGAACGATTTTTTTGAAACTTTGTCACAATAAACGTCAATCAATTCCCTACAGGTACCCAAAATTTGGCGCGCCTGCGGCGCGCCGTTTTTATGCTGTGGCCCGGCGAAAAAAGTGAGGGCGTTTAACGCCCCCCCCCCAGCAACGCGCGGGTTAATCTGAAGTCCAATTGCGAATATCTTGAAAACTAGGCCGAATTTCGGGAAACAGACTTCAGGGTAGGTCATAGGTGGGTTAGGTCTAGTGAAAACCGCTATGTGTAAAAAAGGTGGCAGTCTTCCTTTAACCCTATTAGTGGCAGGCTCCTGGCTACCCCTATTAGTGGCAGGGGGGGGGGGGCTGTTTACGACCACCCCCCCCCCTTGATATCTCTAGATCTAACCGGCCGATTTTCAAAATTCAAACGGCATTCGATTTTGCTCAACGTGATCTACATTTCTAAAAAATAAAAATTCAAAAATGTCAATAGGGGGGTAGAGGGGGGTAAAAACGGGCAAATTGCAGATACATTTTAGACTGTTTATCACGGTCAGGTTTCTGAACCAATCTTAACGCAACTTTTGCCGATCGATAGAGAATGAACCAGGAATTCACATGGATCCTAAAAATATGCATTTTCAAAAATCATAGGCGGATACAGATCATTGAGATTGGGGGTACACAAAAAGTATAGTAAATAAGGTTTTTGTTGGTACTGTTTCTAAAAAGGGTGGTAATGGTCTTGTTATGTTACAATTTTCTTATGAGAGAACGACTACAATTGTATTGGTCATGCATAGGCGGTGTCAGGGCACCTATGTTGGGAGGTAAAACATAACCCCCCTTTTTGGACGCCTGGATCCGCCTATTATATGTTCCTGAGCTCAAACTGCATGTGATAGACAACTTTGTCGTTGAAAGATTTGAATTTTGAATGGACCATAAAACATGTGTCACGTGACCGATTCATGGTAAAAGATTTCCGTGACCTGTGATGACCTGACCCTGACCTGAAAATCAAAGTACAAGTTTAGTACCCGTATCTAAAGCATCTATTCACAGGTGCGTAAACCAAAAGTGAGTCTCATCTGACTTGTAAGCCGGCGACCAGAGCCAAAAATGTGAACAAGCCAAACATCGCGATAATTTCTACTTTGACCTGACCTGTGACGTCATCGGTGTCCTCGAGGTCAATAAAATTAGGTTTCGCTCAACAATTTTCCGGGGCTATCAGACGCCGTTTGCACTTGGACAATGGGCCCAGTAGTTTCGGAGTTAGGAAGGGGGCTATGAATAGCCCCCCCCCCCCCCCCCGTAGGGCGTGTTATACGCAAACCCCAGTGGGATGCGGGTTAATGGAAAAAATATCAGGGGGCGGTTATCCCCTCTGTCGGAGCGCGGGTTAAACATTAAACACATTCAACACATAAGTTTTTTCGGAGCAGGTTATGCTGAAGTCCGAGTATAACCATCTATGAGGGCATTCAAAGTAGCATAAAATTATTATGCAACACATCCATGCAATATGCACAGCTGCAAGGATTATATGTTCAACCGTCTGTAAACGAATCGTCAAACCGGTTGTGCAACGCTAACGAGCCTGTGATGTATTTGTACTGCTGGACATTATGAATTTGGCATTTTGGTCGGATTGTAGCAACGTCATTCTCTCGAGTCCTGGCAGACCATCGATGATGAATCCAAGGCTGCAGCGCTCACTTGAACTTCTGATCAGTGCAATATCATAATGACCATTTATCCCAAAAAGCTTACATCTGTTGTCATCATAAATGCGTACTGGTAAAGAATGAAGCACGGTTGCGAATGCGCGCAGACGTAGCTCACTGTAAGTCATTACTAATTTGCTCAATATCCACGAAAGTCGCTGGAACTCGGGTTAGTCCCACTTTAGCTAAAAATTCGACGCCAATTGCATGTCTTTGTCCTTTATCGTATTCATTGTTTATTTTGGGAACACGGAAAATGTCACTTTGTACGTCATTGATTTGTCGCGCTAGCGTTCCACGAACTTTAGGTAAATGCCAGCCTTGAGCCATTTTTTATGGGATCAAATTAGCAAGTTTTCTGCATTAGAAGTGACTAAAAGCGCATGGGTTACGAATGAACAGTACATAAAATCACTTTCGTTATAGGTGAGCTTTGACCAGTATGCGAGACCCGCTGAAGTGAGCCGATATAATTTCATACTCGGCCAGGTTACATGATGGCGCCAGACCTTGGCATTAACTCTTGGCCAAAACACAAAGCCATTTTCTATGAAGCTATGTCGCTCAGCGCGTCATAAAACATTTTCGGATTGAATCATAACACCCAAATAGTATATCATATACACAGCTACATACGAGGTGTGGCTAAAAAGAAACCGGACTGCTCGTGCTGACCATAAAGTAGGGAGCCCGAAAAATAGCGAGACACTGGACATTAATCTTTATCATATTGTCGTGATGTGTGCCATACGGCACCTCGATATCGCTATTATTCTCCCTTCTACAGCTCTTTGTTTTATTGATGACGCTGACGCTGGTCACTCCGGTCTGGATGTCCTCGACTGATTCAAAATGGGTTTCCTTGACGACGTTTTTCATTTCAGGGAACAGCCAAAAGTCACAGGGAGGGAGGGTTTTTGTTGGTACTGTTTCTAAAAAGGGTGGTAATGGTCTTGTTATGTTACAATTTTCTTATGAGAGAACGACTACAATTGTATTGGTCATGCATAGGCGGTGTCAGGGCACCTATGTTGGGAGGTAAAACATAACCCCCCTTTTTGGACGCCTGGATCCGCCTATTATAGCAAAAACGTGTCAAAAGAGGATGCACAATAACTTTGTATATGTTATCACATGATACCTTTCATTCACTGTTCGTAAAACTGGTGCATACAGTTATAATACATCAGCATCGTGATCTTCGCCCAAATGACTCGCTTCACGAATAGGACCCCCAATTCCCAGTGCTCTGGAGCCGCCCCTGGTACAGTTATGAACTTGAAGTTTTCAAGGAATGTGCCCAATTTACCGGGCTCCTCAAAAAAGTTAGACGGATTTCTTTTGCGAATAGCGGACCCCTAACAACATTTAAGCAAAATCAATGCTCATGGAAAAAGGGAGAATTTTTCGTAGATTTATATGACAACATGGTTTGAGCTTAAAAAATGAAGCCGTGGTCTTAGGAAGTAAAAGCAATACTCGTGAAATTATGCTTTCCCAGACTAAGTCGGTCGGTTCGACACCACGGAAGATCCGCAAACACTTTAGGGCAAAGAGAGCAACATTTTGAAACAAAATTTTCCACATTATTGACAAGTTTCTGGCTCGAGGAAGTGTTAACAATAGGTTCACGCAATTCAAGGAACACAGCGGCGGCCATAAACCCAATCAAAGGCTCACGGCGAACACCACTCGTGTGAGAGATGCGCTACTCAGACTGTCAATGGTCAGCGATATCGGGTGGCTCTGGCGACGTTTTGGAGGGTTCTGCAATATCAGGATGAGCAGAGATCCGGAAACGCTTAAGATCCAATGGTTCCAGCAAGACGGTGCCACGCCAATACCGCTAAAGTAAACCGGGAAGGGCTGTGGGAGCGCTTCGGGCAGCGCGTGATCTCGAGGTTCGAGACACGCCCGTGGTCGGCGAATTCTCCGAACGTAACCCCACCGGACTTTTTCCTATAGGGCCACCTCAAGTCCCAGGTGTACCGAAACCACCCAAAAAGTTCCGAAGATCATAAGGATGCAGTGAAGTCAGCGGTGTGCTGTCTGAAGCTTTCCATGGGTCGTGCTGCAGCAGAGGTCGCGCTGCGCCGGGCTAAACTGTGCAACGAGCAAAAAGGGAATCATCTCGAACATGACCTCGGCGCGGCTCAGAAAGGCGACTGCCGAGGATCGAAATCCCCTCACACCAAATGTCTTTGCTGAGGCTTTTAGGTGATACCCAATTATGTTTTGTTACACTGATACACCCTTCAATACGTTAGTTATAAAATCGTCCAACTTTTTTGAGAAGCCCGGTAGTTTTAGGAAAAGTCAGAAAATTTCAGCATCGTAGCTTCAGCGGTTTCGGAGATATTCCCGAAAAACCTGAGGGGTGGATGAAAACAACCCCCCCCCCCTGCCACTAATAGGGTTAACCCTATTAGTGGCAGGGGGGGGGGGTTGTTTTTATCCACCCCTCAGGTTTTTCGGGAATATCTCCGAAACCGCTGAAGCTACGATGCTGAAATTTTCTGACTTTTCCTAAAACTAAATTGGGCTTATTCCCTGAAAATTTCAAGTTCATAACTTTACCAGGGGCGGCTCCAGATCACTGGGAATTGGGGGTCCTATTCGTGAAGCGAGTCATTTGGGCGAAGATCACGATGCTGCACCAGTTTTAGGAACAGTGAATGAAAGGTATCATGTGATAACATATACAGCTATTGTGCATCCTCTTTTGACACGTTTTTGCTATAATAGGCGGATCCAGGCGGCCAAAAAGGGGGGTTATGTTTTACCTCCCAACATAGGTGCCCTGACACCGCCTATGCATGACCAATACAATTGTAGTCGTTCTCTCATAAGAAAATTGTAACATAACAAGACCATTACCACCCTTCTTAGAAACAGCACCAACAAAAACCTTATTTACTATACTTTTTGTGTACCCCCAATCTCAATGATCTGTATCCGCCTATGATTTTTGAAAATGCATATTTTTAGGATCCATGTGAATTCCTGGCTCATTCTCTATCGATCGGCAAAAGTTGCGTTAAGATTGGTTCAGAAACCTGGCCGTGATAAACAGTCTAAAATGTATCTGCAATTTGCCCGTTTTTACCCCCCTCTACCCCCCCCTGTTGACATTTTTTAATTTTTATTTTTAAGAAATGTAGATCACGTTGAGCGAAATCGAATGCCGTTTGAATTTTGAAAATCGGCCCGTTAGATCTCGAGATATCAAGGGGGGTCGTAAACAGCCCCCCCCTGCCACTAATAGGGGTATACCAGGAGCCTGCCACTAATAGGGTTAAGCAAAAAAAAAATTATCAAGAAAATAAACAGTTGTCCTGCCCTCTGCTATTAATGTATTACGCCATTGGGATATGTGAAAAGTCATTTCTCCATCGTGCAGGAAGAAGCATGCGTGGGAAATACCTTCCTACACTTGGTCTTGGCTAATGTTTTGGCCTGACCTCGTATTTATCGAAAATACCCCACTTTACATTCGCTAAAAAAAATCAGTCAGATCTAAACATTATTCCAGCCCTAGCCAGGAATATATTGGGTGGAGACTTCCATTTCGCGTCTAGCTAGACGCGTCTAAGTCTTAGACGCGTCTAGCTGGACGGCGGCGGCGTCTATCTGGCGACAGCTAAATTTAGACGCGTCTGGCTTGGAGGTCTCCGTCCAACAGTTAGACGCCATGTTAGACGCCAACTTGGACGTCTGCTCAGTTAGACGCCAGTTGGACGCCAGTGGAAGTCTCCACCCATTGTCTACGATGATCGGCTCGAGCCCAGTTATATAGAAGAAGAGTATCCCCCCCCCCCCCGGCACGATGTGTTGCTAGCGGAACACCTCATCCGAAAAGGTGTGTTTGTGCCCGTCCAAAACTCACCGTCTTTGTCGGCCGGCTCCACGTTTATCATCGTCTGGGCATACTTCTTCGCGGTATGTCTGATTTTCTGCAGGACATGCTCCTTCACGTCCTCCTCGAGCCCCATGATCATTCCCAAGTCAGTCCACACCTGGAAACATCGCAAAATCACATTAATGAATGGAATTAACATCAAGCAACATCAAGTGAACATTATATCAATGTGGAAGGTCAGGTCAGGTAAGTTACTCCAGCTCACAAAAAGTTTGAAAGCGCGCCACGTCAAGTGTCAACCTCTGGTGATCTTTTACCTGATAAAAATGACTGGAACTGGATGACTGGATCACACCTTGAACTAAATCAGGGTAATTGATATGGCTGTTTCCCCTGGTTTCAATGGCCTTGAGCATGTCATGGGTGACAATTTGTCTTCCAGAATTTCATCATCGCGGAAATCTTCGTCCGTAAATCTACGTCAACGCATTTCTTGGATTGTATGGTCATACTACGGATTACTGTAAAGTCATACTAACAAAACACAAAGTATACAGTAATTTCAGCTTACCTTCGAGGACTGGGACGCTTGCTCGGTTCTCTGACAGAAGGCCTTGGTTCTGACGACTTGAGCACAATGGCGGTCGCGAATGGTCGCGAACTGCAGAGACATTCCGAAAATATTATTCTTGGAATAATACTGTGCTGGACGAATAGATTAATCACTTTTAGATTAGTTATGTCACAACGGAATAGGATTATCAAGAAAGTGATACAGTATTGCTTGAAATACGCTCCCGAATACTCCCGAAGAATAATGTTAGTAATGCTAACACATAATATTACTCCATGGTTATAAAATTATTGTCCGGACATGATAGTTTTATCACGAAAGAAGTAATTTCTACACCTACATGAGAATAGTTTTATTCTGTCGCGTCAATTTATCAGCCGTAATGGAGTATAAAAATTACCCTTATTACTCCACAGCGGTTTATTTTTATGCAGTTTTGATAAAAGTACTCTAGCTGTCAATTTTATTACCATCTAATGGGAGTTCAGCACAAATATATTCCAATGACCTTGTTTATCACTGTGAAATAAGCTAAAATTACCCCATGCCTCTTTGACACTGATATAAATTTATAACCCGAAAGAATAAAAAGGACACGTGATAAAATTAGAAGATAAAATTAGCACTTGCTAAAACACAAAAGAGATGATTATAGTACCAGGTTTAAGAATAACTTTCAAAAACGCCCTTAATGCAATGCAGAGAGTAAGAATACGCTACAAAACATAATCATTATATGCCACTGGTGCGTGATTATTCGCCAAACTGGAGTGGAAAAACTCCAAAAATAACTCTCTAGGTGTAAGTTTTTTTCAGTGTGGAGTGATCTGTTCGTTTTCTCGCGCGCTCTCCTCGGCAGTGAACTCGTAATTCCAACGGAGTTTTATAGCCTTGATTCCAACTATGTACAGCCCTCTGCTCACTGCGTGGTAGGTATACGTTACACACAGCAATATCGACCTACGTTCTTACTTAAAGCGACGGAGATGCATAATGATACTTTGGAAATGTCCACAACAACTTTTTGCACCCGTCCTAAAAGTGGCACGTTTGAAAGCTCCGTATATTTCCAGATATCAGGGAAAATGTTAATTTTCAGCTATTTGCTCTGCCCCGAATCAGATTGAGCCTGACTGCGCCACTTCCAATGGGAAAGTCCAAATTGAGCCTGGCGAGGGGAGGTCGGAGTTTTACGCACGCTGCCCAGATACGCACGTTTGTTGTGCTAGCTCGCACTGCCTGGGTAGAGGCTATTCACTACGGCTGATAGGGGAGGGGAGCCCTCGGGTATCCAGCGGTAGGTCAAAGTTCACAGAAACTGGCCGCCGAGGCACAATGATGGTCAACTGGGCTGCGGACCACAGCTGGACTTCGGACCTCTCCCCATCCCCTACCCCAGTTGACCCGAGACGGGTCACGGCGTGCCCTCGGGGTCGACAAGGTGCGTGGGGCGCCGGCGGTACGGCCAGCGGTTGGTGTTTTTGGGGTGGTGTCTGCTGATTATGAGCTAACGGACGAAGCAAAGTATTTTCACTAAAACAGAAAACAAATATTGCCCGACCTGTAACGATTTTGAGAGGTTTATATAAAAGCAACCACTGGGCTGATTGACCTGCGGTCTGTTTTTTTTTTCTTTTTTTTTGCTGGGCAGCCTAATATCCCTTCTACGCCGTAATTCGGGGCTGCGGAGTCGATGAATTTTCTAGGACTGACTCCGACTCCGGCTCCGCAGACCTGGCAGGGCCGATGAGGCGGCAGATTTTCGGTGACTCCGACTCCGGTCTCGGTTTCCAAAATCGACTCCGACTCCGACTGCGACTCCGGTCACAGCTGTCGACTCCAACCGATTCCGACTTCGGCTTCGACTCCCATTCCGACTCCGCAGCCCTGTATATTTATAAATCCAAAGGCGTCTGTCGTGGCACGTGCCATGTGAAAAGTTAAGGGTGCTCAAATTCTTTTCCTTAAGTATAGCGCTTTCGAAAGACCTATAGTAAAGGTCTTTCAAAAGGATATAGATTATAAGATACCTTACCAGCGCTGGGGAAAGGGGGTTGGGGGGTTGGACGTATCCTGCGTTTTTCGCAGATATTAAGTAAAAAAAAAAAAAAACGGCAGCGCAGAGCAAAACCGTTTTTGGCACACCTCTTAATGCAGGTTTCCCGCACATGCTGTGAAAGTTTCAAGCCCATGCCTCTCAAGGTCAGGTCACCAGGTGGGTCACGTAAAGTGACCTCGCCTCAGAAAAAAATTAAAATGCTCGTCATAGCCACATTGACTGAACGATCGCCTTGAAACTTTGAGCGATTGATAAGAGCGATGTGCATTAAATGTTAATTTCTTAATTTTGATATCGCTGAGCTAAGTTCAGGACAATCTGCGACCTCTCTATTTTTGGTCAGTTGGAGAAAATTGAAACACGTATTACAAGACAAACGGTATTCTAAACACTCTCAAATATCATGACACCAGTCAACTTGACACACTGAATAAGACAATAGCACATGGGAACCTTACTTATGTCCCCGAGGTCATCGCAGGTCATGAAAGGTCCCCGGCGGCTTTTGCCTTTGATTAGAGCGATGAAAACATCTTCGATGTGCTTAGGTCGACGATGCGCATTGACTGATGCGCAACATGACCTCTTCCGGACAGGTCATGACCTTGAACTTGTTCGTTCCTTGCTTGAGTCAAAAGTGTTTAAAGGTCTATCGAACGCGCTTTTCTACGGCACTGCATCAATATTGGTTCATTTAAGTTATGCGCCGGTGTTTCAGAAAATGTTTAAATATGCACCACTTTACCTGTGTTGACATCTGGTGACCTAACCGTTAACCTGACCTATAAACTGATCGAATTATTTTCGTCTTGATTTTGAACGTTGTTTCAAATGTCGCTTACCGTGTGTTGCTACGTGGCCCATAGACTGAGTTGACCCTCGCCCGTATTGTTGTTTAGCCAGCCGCGAACGTATAGGGGGGGGGGGGGTTCGTTGGATTGGATGGATAGGCCCCTTGCCGTTTGGCCTCTGATGGACTTAGAGCTTCGCAGACAAAACGAGCGTGTTGTTGGTGACGAGAGGGAACAAAAATGTCTATCTTTAAGGTCCTAGATCATAAGTTGACCTTCCAGGTCAGGTCAATGACCCAAAAATCGGAACAATGGAAACTGTTGGAACGTCGTAAAGTGTAGCTGCTAGGTTTTTTCGGGGTGCTAATCACAAATATCATGTTACGTTTGATCAAACATGATGTCTTCACGCATTTAGGCCAGGTCGGGTCAGGTCAGGTCAGGTCAACCAGAAGGCTCTTGCCGGGTATCTATAGTTGGTGTCAACTGCCACTCACAGCTCCGCAACATGTTACAAAGGCACCAAAACTGCTTCTTAAGTGTTCAAATGGATGCTTAATTCTAAATGAGCTCCAAAAACTGTCCTAGACACGTGTAAAACTCGAAAAGTGAATTAAGGTCACCGAAGTTCAATGACCTAACCTGAGTTTCACGTGACCTTGACGCCAACCTTGACACCAACCTATAACAATCCTGAAAATGGCTAATTCATTCCCAGTCCCTGTGCTTTAGAACGGCCTGGTCGGGTCGCGCCAGACTGTCTGGGTCGGCTTCTGGCCGAGACATAGCTTCGGGCTATTGACCCGAGTGACCCCGGCCCGCGTCCACCTCCCTGCCCCACCGTGCCGGCCGACTGGCCCGCCGACCGGTTTAGCCTCTGCGCTGGTCGCCGACTCATGCCTGTTTACGCACCCTACTCGCGCTACAATTCCGTAGTAAGCGGCTGTCAGCTGAGCTCATTGAAGGCATGGCAGGGACGGTTCTAGGAGGGGGGCAAAAAAACTTAGTCTCAGGACGGAAAATACAGACTTCTGTGCATTGTAGCCACACGAAGAAGTGGGTCTAGTCAACAAGGGGTTCAAACAAAGTCGTGTGATATTGCGCGTCCCTCCGTTAGGACTTCCGCGCACTCGGTAGCAGAGCCTTTGAGATATTGGCCGGTTTCGCTGAAGCAAGTATAACCTACCACGCAGTGAGCAGAGGGCTGTACCTACTTTCTGTCGACAGGGTTGATCAAGGAAAGCTAGGAAGCTGCGCATTTTTAGAAGGGTCATTGGTTTCGTCGCAAGGTCGTATAGGTAAGTTACGTTACGTAGGCAGTCACACGTGGCGCCCGATTAATTTCTGTTTTATTTCATGTAGCGTCCGTTCCCAACCTGTCAAAGGCCTGCCGTCAATGGCAGGAGGCTGGCACCTCTATGTACCCGGCTGGCACGTCCCAGCAAACATCACGACAGGACTCATTAGTACGTGACAATGGGCGGATTATTGGCAACGAGGTTAGGCTAAAAAAGGCGGACGGGGAGCCGTTTTTCTGTCGGCCAGGCGTTGGCTGCGCAGGACGTCGGGCGTGGGTTCGACCATCCCTGAGTGCCGCTTCTGAACTATGGCTCGTAGTTAGTCAACAGACCACAGGGCAAAAGGTGGGAAGGGGGGGGGGGGCTGACTGCTGAACGTGGAACAAATGTTGTCTGGATCCATCGTACGTCACACCATTATGGATTCATTGTGATTGTCGTGTGAATAGTTCGTATGGTGGCTCCTGCCGTACTACGATACGGTTCACTTCCATGGCATGCGTATGATTACATAACACATTACTCAGTGCTCACACCGGCAGCGATAAGGCTAACGCCAAAAAGCACACAGGTGGAGTATTGTATCACATGGCCTCTTTTGTCGCACTCTACCCATCATAAGCGGCAGTTGCCCCGAGCGACGGGGCGGGCGCCGTCGGCTGATCCCAGGCTCTCAGCCGACGATCGGCCGGCCGACGGCCGTTCTCCGAGATACGGAGTCGGCTCGTCCAGTCGAGTCGATCCCGTGTCGGATTTCATGACAGTCACGAACGTCAAACGTCCCAGCGACGGGTACTCTCGTCTCGTCTGTCCCCTGTACTTTCCGGTGTTTATCTGAGATTGACGCCTGCACGTCGCACGGTACAAAGGCGTGTCTTTCAGATTACATAAATTGTTGCCGGTCGTATTATTGCATGCCATGTTAATCACTAGTTTGGATGGCTGCTGGTAGCCTGTTGAATGTATGTTTTTTGTCATTCCTTGTTTTTTTGTCTCTAGGTATTTCAGATTGACGTGGGTCGATTCGTGGAACGATTCGAAGGGCAATAAATAATGCGGCTAGCAAAAGTGGCTGGGATGATCGGTCACAGAACCG